GGGAGGGAGGGAAGGAAGATCGACCAAGCTCACGGGATCAGGACGTCCACATCACGAAACTGCGATCCAATGGTAGTAGTGTTATGAATCCACAGGGCAGTGCCGGGATGAATAACGGTAATGGGTATCGGCAAATTGACATATATACAACAAAATGTCTTTTTTTTTATTGCACACCCAAATGTGATAAACAGCAAACGGGGACGAATCCCATAGTCACAAGGATCTGTTGTTCAATGCTGGAAACCGGCAACCTAAGCCCAGGGAGACTTGTAGAATGGCTAATCACATAAGGTCCCGCGCTAGGTTAGGCGTGGTATTAAACCGGACGATAGCAAAGCTGCCTACCATCAAAGTTGGGTGGCGGTGATGAGGCTCGAACCTCAGACTACAAGGTTCAAAGTACGTCGGCGACATCGACTAAACCACTACGCCACAGGTCTTCCGAAATCCCACAGGCACCCGATATAATTAATGGAACGGTCAGATGACAAAGGCGCCATTCCCGTAGTTACCATTTGGAACACTGTCATTCGCTCTAAGAGGTCTTGTTCATTCTTCACCACAGAGAGAGAGAGAGCGAGAGAGACAACCAATCACGTTATTTTACGCAATCCAAACATACGACTCACAACGGCAGTAGCATTAGTGGTGGTGGTGGTGATGGTGCGGCATGTGTGCAACAGTGGTTTTTCATCATTCTTGTTCGCGTGGCCATATTTCATGTTTCAGACTGAGAAATGAAGCATCATGTACACGAGTAGCTTTATTTAGATTGAATTGATTTGAACACAAGCATGCATACGCTGTGTTATCCATGCTCCGATATCCTCATCAGAAATAATCTCAAAGCTGGCTTATCATGTCCAACGAGCCGTGGTCGTGGTCAAAAATCAAGTACACTGTTGACTTGAATATATGGGCATCTTTCACACATACCGCCCCTATTCAAATATTCCCCGTTCGAGAGTTTACGGTAGATTATGTAGAAATCAATGAACGCGTACGTCTCGTGCTATCTAGACGAGAGTGAGACGAACGCTACCGAAGTCGACGATTGTAGGTCCGCAGCTATACGGGCAAACCGACTTCATGTGATAATCCGAACTGCTCTAAATGTTTAGTTACACGGAGGCCCTTGTTCTATGTTCTCTGTTCGCTTCCAGGTGTACAGTCCATCCACCTTGTATCTTCGGCCATTACGTATCTCGTAAACATAGTGCAAATCCCCATTTGGTTCGACATCCTGTCATCTAGATAATGCATTCAAACAGCTGTTGGATTTTATCTATTTCCCATTTTTGAGTCGCACACCACCCAAACAATGGGTTCCTTTTTACCTTATAAGGTTTTCGTGTGTTTATGTGTGTAATCTCATGTAGTTTGTATCCATTTTTGGTCTTCATTGTTTTCTTGTGTTGATCTGGTCCCATTCAGTCTCCGATTCCACCTGGTAGCTCTTGAATTCCGGCAAATTCCACTCAGCAGATCCAGATGTTTGTGCTCGCTGCGAAAAGAAACTGAGACAAAACTAGGATTTCCAACTCGAGACGCGGTATGCTTGCTCAACTTCAAGCGAATTCAACCCATTCCATTCCAATGGAAATGCCACAAGGTGCTTGGCACCTCTGCCATCACATGTCTGCTATCTGACCATGTCTGTCATAGCGCTTATCCAGATCGACTGAACTAAATTGTCTAAAAGCAGACACATCTTAATGTGATGAACAGCAAACGGAGAAAGCCCCGTAATCACGAGGACCTGTTGTTCAGTGATGGAGATCGGCAACCTAAGCCCAGCGGGCTTAGAGTGATGAATCACATAAGGCCCCGTGAGGTTAAGCGTGGTATTGAACCGGACGAAAGCACAGTTGCCTACCACCAAAGTCGGGTGTTTGTGGCGGGGCTCGAACGTGATTTCACAATTCAATTCTACCTACCGTAGTTGTTTTACTCGTATTCCGGGCATGCGGCAGTTTTCACTGGTTCACCATAATGTCTATCTTCGTTGTCGTTAATGTTGTTTATCCCATGCATATTTCGTCCCTATCTATTTGCCCGTTTGCCTAATTGTGATAAAATCTAAGCGGAAAAGTCAATGACCGTTTGTCTGTCTGTGTGTGTGTGTGTGCGCACGTCTTTATGCTAGTAATTTCGGAGTCAATCTGTTTGTTATCTTACCCTAACTACTTTTGCATCATGCTTATTTAGAGTTGTCTCTTCCCTCCTTCTTTCCCTAAATGCATGCTGGTCGACCTTTGTGCATGGTTTGTGTCCAAGACCATTTTCCCTGTCTCTGTTTCACTATTCATCGTGCGCTCTCTCTCTCCTATTATCACCCTAACCGATTTCCATTTCTGCAGCTTTGACGACGACGACGACAATCCGATTGAGGACGACCTGGACGAGCCAGTTCCGCCGTGGACATCACACGACAATTCCACACAATCGACATTACCACCACCACCACCGTCCAATCAGTCGGCCAGTGGGCTCAGCCCAGATTCCGCTTGCCATTCAACCAGTACCGTACATTCGGATCACGCAATCCTGGCGTCCACAACCGCCTGTTACGGAGAAGCGGTCTGGGTCGGTGAAAACGGATGCACGACAAACTCCGGTGAGGAGTTCACCGACGAACGAGTCGCTCTCTCCTCCGGCGACAAGACCGCATCATCCGGAACGCAAAGCCATAGCCTTATTCGTACCAGTCCCATTGTATTATGCACAACCCGAAGTCCTGGATCAGGCCTATCCCCCGTCAAATCGAATGATTTGAGTACTAAACGCACAGTTGTACTTCGCTGTGCACCATCATCTGTCCTCATGAATGGTGGTAGCCAAACACCATCACCTTCCAGCGGATTCTCTGACACTACATCTGACACAATCTCTTCCCACCCGCTACCTTTTCGCTCATCCAATCGTCTTTTGACCCCGAACTCGGGTCCCAATTCAGTGAACAGTGCCGGTCGTTTCCTACCATCCGCCCATCAATCCAGTTTGTACTCACGCTCCCGATTCCACACGGGCTCGGTCGATTGGCGACATCACAGTATACACGGCCGAAACTGTGGAAAAATGTTACGCTGTGAAGCCTGTGGTAAATACTATCGGAACGAATACAGTTTGGATCATCACATCTGTTTGAAACGTAAAGATGTGTGGAAAAAAGGGGATGTGCCCTCTAAAATCATCGACGGTCAGGTGGTGTTCTTTTGTCCCACTTGCCACAAACCATTCAAATGGCTTGGGAATCTGACCCGACACTATTACGTGCACACGGGTCAGCGATTTTTCAAATGTGATATCTGTCCGAAAGAGTTTTTCTCCGCCTACCAAGTCCGACGTCATATGAACTCGCATACGGGTGTCCGATTCAAATGTGAGGTCTGTGAGAAACCATTCACATGCAAATATGCATGTGCCTGGCACACACGTCAGCACTACACCTATGTGGAATAGGGGATAGGT